GTGATTTATTGAATGTGATTTATTGAATGTGATTTATTGAATGTGATTTATTGAATGTGATTTATTGAATGTGATTTATTGAATGTGATTTATTGAATGTGATTTATTGAATGTGATTTATTGAATGTGAGTTATTGAATGTGATTTATTGAATGTGATATTTTAGGGTTAGTTAACAGGGATGAGGAGGTGAGAAAACGAATTTTAGATGGATAGTAGGGTTGGGGGGGGGGGTTGGGGCTGAAAATTTGAAAGAATTTGTTGTCATCGGCAACGATCTATAGGCCAAGTTTCAGCTGTATAGGTGCACGGGAAGTGGGTCAGTTAGCCGTCCAAAGATTTTAGCCACCCAGCAGCGAACAAAAGCGAACTTATTAAAGGATTTAAAGAGCGAGAGAGAGAGAGAGAGAAAGAGTGAGAGAGATAATAGTAAATATGAGGGTATGACATTGTGATACGTATTACAGATACCATTTATTGTGTACTTAATGTTATAATGTAGCAACACATGACAACACATGACACCTTCCTGCCATAATGATGAAATCATCGACTGCATTTATTCATGTTTTTTTTTAAAAGTCAAATCGCAATAAATAAACTTTTGAAAAATGAGATGGTGTATTTTATTTAGTTTGTGTACATGCACAGCGTGCATCGTGGCACCACCAATCATGTTCATTTTATTTGTGTACATGTACAGCGTGCATCACAGCACCACCAATCAGGTTCATGTTATTTGTGTACATGTACAGCGTGCATCACGGCACCACCAATCATGTTCATGTTATTTATGTACATGTACAGCGTGCATCATGGCACCACCAATCAGGTTCATGTTATTTGTGATTATGTACAACGTACATCTCGGCACCACCAATCAGGTTCATGAACTTAATATGATAATTTTAAGTTAAACTAATACTTTTTTTTCCTTTTAGAACAGCTTAACTAAACTCACAAATGCCAGCTATGAGACTTGCTATTAAGCACGTTTCATTTTTTTTTCAATGAGTGCCCCCCACCCCCCCCCCCCTTAAATTACTGATGTGCTAAATGAATATGCGAACGTAGACATGCACTGTTGACTAGACTTCACTAGCGCACACCATAAAATAAATTGATTACCCCCCACCCCCCATAGTACTCCCCCGTCTAAGACCTTCTCCAAGCTTTTAAGCGCACATTTTCTTGGTTACCAGAAATTTGATCGAAAGAAATTGCGTCGACGGTAAATTATTCGACGGAAATTCGATCGAACGGAAATTTGGTCGAATCTTTTTTTCAGTTTTTACTTTAAAATTTTGCTTTAATTTTCTTTTTGAACGCATTATTTTGTTTTCTTATACAGTATAATGCGCTCAAAAAGAAATTTGACGAAAATATTAACGAAAATATTTGGGATTCTTATTACTTGTATGCATTTTTTTCCTCAAATTTTCAGCCCAACATCCTGTTGTTCGATATTACATTTTATAATGTTTTCATTCGAAAAACAGTGTTTTTAAAGGTTGTTTAATTCTGGACAAAAATGAGAATTTGATAAAATACTTAGTTGTAGGATGAGATAACCAATCGCAGCCTAACTTTTATTCACGTGACATTGCAGAAGTCTTTTTCAAAATGGCAACTATTGATATTAAATTGCACTAGGAAAAAAATAATAATAGAAAACACGACATGGTTTAGACTAGTATGGCTTGATAAGTCCTGAAAATATCCGATTGCGGTACCTCTCGGCCTGTTGGCTAAGATCAGAATGTTGTGTCAGTTCGTATCCCGCCACTGGTTTACAAAACTGGTTTGGGTGAATAAATATGACATTTTCAGCCTGG